GCCCCAAAACGACGCCGAATCGCTTAGACGGGTCTCCTCTGAAGGGTTCTTGTACCCCTGCGGCCTCCCTTATCTCCCGTTCTACTTACCTGACGGTACTCTCTCTCACTCTCCCATCATCGGTTTCTTCTAATTTGATCGTATGGAAAGTTTGTAATTTTATTCGGTATTTTGAATTTAATTTACTGTTTGGTTGCTGAGAAAATGTTGGAAAATATTAGAATCAGCAGTTTTGTGCTAAATTGCGCTTTTTAGGACTGCACGAAGTAGACAGATTTATTTGGCGTGTAATTATTTAATATTCTCAGTGAGCGGGCAGATGACATCAATTTGAGAAATTTAGTGTATTAGGAATGAGAATTTTGATTGGCTTTGTTCATAGATTTCGGTTTTTTGTTTCGGAAAGAAATAAGCATTTCAGTAGTATAATGCCATATTCCCTGAGTTGTATATTTGTATATAAACATTGTTTAGCTTCTAAGCATGTCCTTCATTGGCAGCTTTCATACCTCTAAGCGTGGCTGGATGCTTTGACTTGATAGATTTTGGGGTGTTGGGGATCTGAAACTTAGTTAATCTCATAAGCTGGGTTTGTAATCACTTTACAGATTTTGTTCTTGAAGCCTTAACTGTCATTTACGTTTTTAGGCACACAAGTATACTTCTTTGTCAATTTTTTTTTTCTAATAAATCATTGGTCTTGGATCATGACCATCACATAGACAGCGAATAGATCCTTAAAGTCGTTAGATTGGGTTCTAAAGTAAAATTTGATTTTTCATGTACAATAATTTTTCAACATGAACAACCATCAATCACATATTTTGGTAATGCTAATGCCGGGCAGAAGCAAGTTTCTTTTTGAGGTCTATATTGTTTTTTGGAGAACATTACAGAGAGAATATTATTCTTTTTTAGGTTAAGAAATATCTGTGTGAAATTGTATAGCTCAGAAGTTACTTGTATAAAAATCTCTGTCTCTCTCTCTCTCTCTTTTTAACACAAATTGTGTGGTTCTGTGTCCCGTTGTGTATTTCAAAAGAGATTAGTGTAAAAATCTTTTTTTTTTTTTGATAATTGTGTAGTTCTATGTGAAGTTGTGTAGTTTAGAAGAGATTCATGTAAAACTTTCGTTTTTATGTCCTTTAGTCTTCTTCCCCTGTAATTGTCATTTTAGGATGGGAAAACCCAACTTTTGATGTTTTAATAAGTACCAAAAGGAACAGAAAAGAAGAGTTGTCCAAAAGGCAATTCCTGCTAAGTATGCCGGCTGGATAAAAGTTAACTTGTAATTTCACAGCGACTCCATTTATGCTACTTTCAGTCATGCTTAATTTATATTTTATTATTTCTCAGGAGGTGATTCTTCATCAACAGAGCCAATGCTGTTATTTCCAAAGCGAACGTTCCAGCCCAGTACCATCCGGCGGAAGAGGAACCATGGATTTTTTGCTCGGTCTCTCTCTCTCTCTCTCTCTCTCTCTCTCTCTCTCTCACACACACACACACACACACTCACTATAGAAAACCTTGGTTTCTTCTCGCAAGAGGTCTTGTTTTTAAGATATAGCATGTACAATTTTTTAGGATGCTTTTTAGATTTAGTTCTATGGTTTTAATAGTATGGCAAGTATATATAATGCAAATTTTAGGTTTATATGTTTATCAATGAAAAGGATTAAAGTAGTTATGGGCAAGTAGATATAATGCTAATTTTGATCTCAATCAACTTCTTTCTGATATGCAACATTACTTTTAGCATTTTACTTGATGCAATTTTAGTTACCTGGATAATGGATCATCAAAATTAGCCTTGTCCATAACTCTCACTAAACTTGTATACTTTTCAAAACGTGATGCTAGTTTATCTGTCAGATCAGCTTATGAGGGCGCTTACTTTTCTAAACAAGCTTTTGTGAGCCGTGTTGTCTCTTATTTTCAAGTTTCAACATCAACCAGTAATCTGTATATTTTGCATTTGTGATTAACATATTTATCACATGAACACAGCAAGGCAACCAAGGGTGGACGGAGAGTAATTGCTAGAAGAATAGCGAAAGGTCGAGCAAGAGTTACAGCTTAACATTTCTTTCGCTGGCCTAGTCTTACCTTGGGATCTAGTCGACAAGCTTACCTTTGGATCATGGTAATGTTTGGTTCTTTTTGTAGTTGTTTAGCCTTGGAGTGCTGTGGTTCTTTAGCAGAACCAGAATTAGTTTGATGACATTTTCTTCTAGCAACCTTGAAGGTGTTGACTACTAAATCACGTTCCAAGTATTTATGCTTGTCAGAAATTTCTTGTTACCTCAGAACTTCATAATGTTAGCCAGTTTAGTAGTTGATTTTCTTTTCTGTGTGATTCTGGTTCGGCATGCTGCTGTTTTACTAGGATTCAAACAACAGAGCCTGGAGCAAGTGACCCTTTGAGCCCTTGCATAACAGCGTGAGTTCGAACACTCTCAGTGATTAATCTAACAAAATCTATTTTTCAACCAAAAAAAAAAAAACAACAGGGCCTGGAAAAGCAAGGTCAAGCTTATAAACTGTGGCCTGTTTTGTTATTGAGTTACAACGGTATATGCATCATGTCGCATGCAAGTTTCTCTCACGATTACATTGTTTAAAATTATCATTTAGTGGAAGGTTTTCAACGATTTTCTCTTGTGATTTCATTGTTTGTTTAAATTATCAATTTATCAGACTCGGATGGATTATGAAACTTGAGCTTGTCACTCAACGCCAATATATTTTTCTATCAACAAATTAGAGGATTATTAATTTTGACCAACAAATAATTTAGAGGATTACTAATTTATTAGATTAATCTAGCAAATTTGGACTTAGTGAAGTTGGCTAGAGTAGTTGATAAGATCAACGAGAGAAGGAAAGAGGAAAATAAAGGGAAAAAAAAAAGGAATTAACTCGGTAATTTCGTTCATAATTCATCAAAAGAACGTCAATAATTCCTTAAGTTCTCTCACTAGGACTCAATTCTAATAGAGTATATCAGCAGTGATTCCTCCATTATGCGCTGAAGTTCAAATCTTTTTTGTAATTTGATTATAGTATATCAATTGTGATTCGTTTGTCCTTTATGCACTAAACTTCGAATCTTTCTTGTAATTTGATTTAATTTAGTAATAGATGACTCGTTACAATTTCCGAATGAACGTTAATATCACCACATATTTAAGACCCGGATTCATATCACAAATTTAAGACCTTGCCCAGGAACTCTTCTGTAGCAAATTCAAATTAAAAACGGGCCCATTTGAACCTGCTTAAAATACCACTTCTGCGACCTAGACTCGAGACCTGTCTCATGAATCTTTTGTTTGTAGGGAAATGTTAAACATTTTTTCTCTTTCATATACATCTCTGTTTAATTTTGTCCTTTTTTTTGTTTGTTTTATTCAATTTGATGATCGTAAATAAATAATAATTTGTGAGAGGCTAAAAATAATGTGTAGCCACTTAGTATTACGGTCTGGTGGTATTCCTTTTCGTTTGTGAGAGATTTAGATTTGATTATCGCCAAAGACAAATTTGAACCACATTATTACTACCCCGTTGTGAGGCTAAGCTCATCCCCTCTTCTTTAAGGGAAATTTAGAAATTAAAATAACCAAAATTTGAACTCCATATAGAATTATAGCCAACTTTTAAAATTTATGATAATTATAATCAAAAGTTGATATAAAATTACTAATATACCATTAATGACAACTTTTAACAAAACAAATCCAAAGACTCTCAAAACCCAAATGATTTTGCTGCTTTACGCTTCCCGATCTTCAATGTTTTCCTTCACACTTGATTGTTCTTGTTTTTCAGCACAAAATTTAGTCCAAAAAATAGAAGGAAGGAGTTGGACAAATGTGGGTTCTTGGGTGAAGCGAATGTAGTTCAATTGACTAAAGGTTTCCTCATTTGACTGAAACTCCTTATGCATATTTGAATCTTGGTTGCTGAGCTCGGAAGAAGCGTGGGATTTGAGTGATTATCTGGTCTACAAAAGGGAAAGAAGAATAGAGATTATATTCATATATCCCAAATTACTTCCCTCACATTCTTTTAATTTTTTAATATTTTTTTTATCAAGTGTTAGTGTTGTGTAAAATATCTAAAAAATATTTAAAAAAATAAAAGAACGTGGGGCAAATAATTTGGGTTGTGTGAATATAATCTCTCAAGAAGAAAAAGGAGTGAACTTTAGAGTGTGGAAAACAAATGAGTTGTCCCTCAGGAGCAAAACTCGCTTCTCCTCCATCGCCTTCGTAGCCCAGACCTTGGATTGGGGTGGAGAGGACAACATGCTTACCATTGTCAGAGCGACGGCAACGTGGAAAACAGGTCTTTGAGGAGGGAGGGAGGGAGAGAGGGAGAGAGAGAGAGAGAGAGAGAGAGAGAGAGAGAGAGAGAGAGAGAGAGAGAGAGAGAGGACGATTCGAATGTCGAGCCACAGGAGGAGGCCAACGTATTTGTTGGAAATTTAGCTTTTGATGTTGATAATCATAAATTGAGAGGGCTGGAATTGTTAGGTTGTTGAGATGAGGCTTTGAATTTGTTTTGTAAAAAGTCTTAATCATTAAGGGTATATTAGTACTTTCATATCAACTTTTGGTTATACATTTCATAAATTTAAAAAGATGGCTATAATTCTATATAGTGTTCCAATTTTGGTTATTTTTTCAAATGTCCATTCTTTAACGTAGATAATATCGTTTGCTTAAAATTAAAAAAAAAAAAGTGTAAAAATCAACTTTCTAGTACTGCTGGATGGGTCAAGAATTTGTGGCCTAAATTATTTTCTAAGGTTTGACTTTAGGCTGTACTGTTTGTACTCTACCTGGTGTGCTGCACACTTCTAGCTAGTCTCGTTATAGTCTTCGTAATGAATTAATCAAAAAATGATTAACAATCAGAAATAAACGGTAAGTGTGCAGAAAGAGAAAAGCAACTCCATATGGTATTTTTCAAATAATAATGAAGAAGGTGCTAGAGTACAATATAAAAGATATTCAAATAGAGAGTACTTTGACCAGAGTATAATAAAGTGAGCAACATGTGAAAAGAGAGAGAAACATATGGTGTCTCAACAAACATCACTTCCTAGGGAGCGCGAACTAGCAACATTTAGGTTTTCTAGTAATGGGAATAGCGTCACCTTATGCAAATGTCAAGATACAAATATATGCAATTTTCATTCTATGAATATTGAATCCAACCATACAAAATACCTAATTCGCAAATTTAGATCATGTCTAATAGCTAGGATTCCAAGCAGCTTCAATGAGCGTTAAAGTTTGTGTCGAATTGGTTGCTTGATAATGGTAACAAGGATGGAGATGCCGATGAAGGCGATGACGATGATGAAGATGATGGCAACAATGATATGATGGCATCAATGCACTCTAATTGATTGGATGGAAATTGAAGATCTTGAGGGTGAGATCCATGACTAGATGTAAAGCATGATAATTTGGCAAGTGAATCAAGTTCTTCTAGATCAGATGGGTATAATATTGGCATTCTACAAACATTACCATCAATGATCTCACAAAATTTAGGCACGGTGGCTAAAATAAAAGGATTTTCATAAGTGACTGATGCTGACGATGCCATACTAATTGGAACCATGAGCTCATTACCAATATTATTATATTGAGCAGCTGCAGCTTCATTGATGCTGAAATTTTGAACTTGCTGAATATTTGGATCAAATTGGGGTTGGGGTTGATATCCTGCGGACCATGATGAGGACTCATATGAGGATGAATTATTTGATGGTAATTGGAAGGGAGGCAAAAAACAATCGACGAAATTGGAAGCGTAATTGGTCTGGTCTAACTTGAGAATGTTATTAAAATCACCATGATAATTGAGACCTAGTGATGGCATTGGTGATGGAACAATGGGGAGGTATAGCTGATCTTGTGGTTGAGAACCCAAATTAGGGTTTGTATTGAGAGTGAAGAAACCTTCCTCAGAGCCATGACCACTAGGGTTGTGAATATGATCATTAGAAAAGGTCGCAAATGCAGGAATAACTTCATGCGAAATGAGCTTCTTTTTTATGCTCGAGTTCCAAAAGTTCTTCACTTCATTATCTGTTCTTCCTGGCAGGTGCTTGGCTATCTGAGCCCATCTGCTTATAATTCACATATCAAGATCATTATAATCAAGAGAGAAAGAACATAGGGTGTATGTATTGGCACTTCAATCATGTCATCTTGCACTCCTTAAATTTTTGCTTATATTTTTATAAATTTGAAGTGCGTGATGACTTTCTTGGACTGTCAATAACAGCTATCAAAACATACACAATGGTGATATAAGCTAATATTAAACATTCGAATATTTATACCTGTTGCCTAGAATGCTATGGAGTTCAATAATGAGTGCAGCTTCTTGGGGAGAGAAGCTCCCACGTTTTAAGTCAGGTCTCAGATAATTTATCCATCTCAGTCTACAACTCTTTCCACATCTCTGAAGGCCTGGCCTCATGGAAGAAAATTAAAAAAAAAAAAAACTAAAAATAAGAAAACTTAAGTGAAAAATTGTAATGGGTTAATTAGCAACCAATATCCCAAGCAATCCAAAACATAAATATACGTATATATGCAGAGCGATAACGAATATATATGTATATACACATGTTGAGCTAGAGAGAGAGAGAGAGAGAGAGAGAGTACCTGCAAGTTTAGGAACTGAGCTCCAGCAGCCATGGCTATGTGTTGTGATGTAGTTGATGAGTTTTTCATCTTCCTCTGGAGACCATAGCCCCCTCTTCACTTTCTGTTTGTTGCAGCATGAGTGATGTCCCATCTCTCTTTCTCTCTCTCTCTCTCTCTCTCTCAAAGTAGTATTGCAGCCAAGGCAGAAGAAGATAAAACGGAAAAAGAGATATCAATAGAGACAAAGGGAGCTAGCTCTTTAGCTCGACTTGTATGATTAAGCAGCAGAGAAAAAGGAAACAAAAAGAAACAGTGAACTGAAAATGTACAAGCTGGTAGCCACGGCTAGTGTCTGATCACTCAGAAAATATGAACAGATAAGAGAAAAATGGATGCATGACATGAGCGTGTAAGTACAGTGGTGGTGGTGGATTTAATGTTTGGGAGCAGTACATGGTAATATATATGGTGGCCCCTGTTAGGGTTTCTGGCAAAGGGCTTAAAAAATGCAGTATCTTTCTGTGGGACTTGTTGGCTTGTAGTGGATTAATCCTTAGCTCACTCGGAGATATGGGCTGGCACGTGCACGTGTCTCACATGCAGGGTGGTGGGTCCTGCCTGTGTATTTGTCGGGTCCTACTCTTGGGAGACTTATCTTTTGCTCAGAGAGGATCAATGTGCAGGTACACAGGGGAATGAAAATGTGACAATTGGTTTAATTCATGAAGATTGAAGTCTTAGCTGGATTTTAATGAAAAGTATTTTAAAATGGACTTTGAAATGTTTGATTTTTTTTTCTTTTTCCAATTCTTTTTCTTGCTTGCAAAGGAGTCAACCCAAGTACATAAATTAGAAATCGGATCCCCTCTGGAGCAATATATGGGGAGCCTGCTATCCAGACCATTGAAATTTGATCAAACGGCTGCAATTATTATAACTTTTAAAAGCCCTTCCGTTTATAGTCGTTGAATCAAATTTCAACGGCCCGATGGTCCTGCTCAGCAGGCTCCCCATATATTGCTTTAGAGGGGATCCGAGTCCCATAAATTATTTAGACGATGATGTGTGTTTATTTAAAGAGAATAGGAATTTGAATACTTTTGATTCTTGAGTTTTCCACGTTTTGTTAAATATGAAAATGAGAATCATTATGAAACACGAATACTTTAGGTTATGCCTCTCATATTCAATATTTAGTTGAATACGATACTTGTTGGATACTCATCAATATGTATCAACGGATATTGCTTTGACTTGATGAATACACAAGAAAATCAATAAAAGGCAAAGCTTTAATTTAAATATGATGAATGTGAAGAGTTTTCCTCTATTAAAACTATATGAATACGAGTCTCACACTTCTTTTTCTATATTTCAAGAGAATTAGATTCCATATTTTTTTCTCCAACAAATTAAATGAACTTGAATTTAGATGATGAATGTGAATTTTTGTGTTATTAAAATATGTATTTTTATTGTTGTGTACTATTATATTTTTAATTATTGTATCCATAACGTATCGCATCCTAATTTTGAAAACTTTTTTGTATCGTCGAGTCGTGTATTGTATCACCATATCCCTATTCGTGCTTCATAGGAGAATCATCTCACTTCTTAAAATCATCAAGTATCTAGGAAACATAATTCAGGCCATTGTTTACCAATACATATGGAGTCAGAAAAAGTGTGAGTTGATCTGGTTCTCTTTACTTGGTTGTCCTATTTTTGTGTCATCTGACTCTTTCCTTTTTTTCATTTATGTTAAGTAAATCCGAGTTCTCTTATCGCATATATGTTTAATAAGAAAATTCCATGAAGAATTGAATATGATCAAGGATCATACAAACAAGAAACTTACGTAATTCATGTGTTCAAATTATTCTCTTTTAACACAACCATGAACATCCATGTCAGGTTACTATTATTAATGTGATTCGTATAAGCTAGCTTGAACGGAGAAAGGCTCAAACACTTGAAAAGAAGTTATTTGGTTTTATATATTCCTTCTTACTTTTGATGCTTTGCATGTTTAGTCATCCTATGATTTGCAATGAATAAATGTAAGGAGGCAACCAATGCTTTGCTTGAAACTCCTATAAACTTATACTACTAGAATATGAAAATCTAATAAAACTTCTACAACTAAAAAATGGGGTATAAACCACTCAGTGCCGAGTTTAAATTTTCTCTACACTCAAAAGGGTTGTGGCCTCTCTAATTTTGTGACACATGTCCACTCACTTAGCCCAACTTAACAGTATAATTTCTCTATGTTATCTCCTAAACTTTCTTTCTTAAAAAAAGGCCAAGCGTCTCACATTTGTTATCACGGCGATTGACCAGCACCCACATTCAATCCTCAAATCATCCATAGTCACACACCGAACAGTCCTTTCCTTCCCCTCCATAGCTTTGTTGATTGGGCACATCATCACCAGTCCACCATTCTCAAATAAAACTTGAATTTTTTTTTTGTTTTTTTTTGTTTTTTTGTTTTTGTATTCCAAAGGAAGAGTTGTCCAGCAGCCAATAGCTAATCCGATTATTTCTTATCAGTCGCCACGGTTACTGTACATCTGAGGCCATTAAAGGGTTTAGAAACACACAAAAATTACGCCTCCATTTGGTAATGTTATGCTTTTATTTAATTTTAACATTTTATTAAAGATAAAGGTGGCATGGAAACAAAGTGAAAAAAAAGGATGACAGAGAAAAAAGGGAGAGGATAGACTGCAAGTGTATTAGTGTCGTAACTGTGGTTATAAGTTTTATATTATCTTTCACGAACAGGAATTAGATAGAGAAATTTATTGAAAGGGTTGAAGAATCTTGTTGTGCACCACTTTTTGTGTGCATCTGGGGCTCCATTTTGTTGACAAATTATGAAAAGCAATTGAGAATAAAAAGCAGGCTTTTACATTCTGTTTGAGGATTCCTTGTTAATATATAATTGACTTAATTGCTTTGTTTTTTATATAATATGAAACATGATGCCAAAGTTCAAAGTACAAATTACAAACGTGTCGATTGAGCTGTACAAATTAATCGATTCATCAGTCTAATCCACATAATTTAGAATACCGTTGGCAAATATACAGATCCTAGCAGGCACTATATATTGTTTATGAGTACAACTGTAAAACGATCCAATAATTAGAGGTGCTTGGTGGGACTGTTAGACTGGATCCATCGAAGTCCATTCTTTACGGTTTTTCTAGTTCGATTCTCTTTGATTCAGAATAAGTTGTAGCAACTCAACTTGAGTTTGTTACATACACGCGTCTCGCACAGTGAGAGCTTGTAGTTTAACTTTTCTTTTTGTTTATGGTGTTTGGTTCAACAATCATACTCCATGATCTCTAGAATTACGAACAAAAATTTCACTTGCATGTTAAAGAAAATTTAAAAGAAGCCGATCGACATGTTTGAATTTTAAGCGTGTTAGAAAATTTTAAGCGTATTAATTTACTTTTGTGTTTAAGAAGTCACTATATATATTGAAATTTGGGATATATGTCTATCAAATGGACACACAGAAATGCAGTTCCAGATAGATTAATGATCTTCAAGAAAAATCATGTTAGTGGTGAACCAGGGTGCAAATTAGGCTTCCTACCAAGCATGTGATATTAATTGGTTGCGTCTGATAGAAAAAGCAAAACTTTGGAATGCTTATGATGGAAGAAATAAGACCAACCGAGATTCTTGATTTATTGTTTCACATGCAACAATTAATTGCAACAAACTCTTTTGCTTAAAATGTTGAGCCATCAAAGGACACTAGCTGCAAGAGATTTTTGTTTTTTTCCCTACGTATTGGAGAATCAAATGAAAAAAAATGAAAGAATGACTAGGTCATCCATTGTCTTCTATCAACAGGTTATTGATCCTGGTATGGGTCATTTTCAATCAAAATATTGTTCGACAAATTTAATCAATTTTAGATTGTACACATTTTCCATGTTTGTGTTTTACTTTTCCTCTCATTGTTTTTGCTTTGCTTTACTTATGTGAGAATGATTATGTACAAATGCAACAAAATCAAGAAAGAAGTAACAACTTTAATTTGAGGATGATTATATACTCTTTTTTTTTTACGAACAATAGCGTTAGTGAATTAAACTGTTAGTTGTTAAGAGGGAGGAAATCAATGAAGATCAAACCAGCACTAAAGTGCTTATACATCATTGTTTTCTGTCACTGTGCCAAAGCACTATAAGCAAACCTTATTTTCTATTTTTATACCTTCTAAACACCATTTCTCTTGAATATGAGTAAAAAGTCAACAGTAATCAATTCTAAAATTACAGAAAACCTTTTTATCCTTAGTGTGTGTGTGTGTGTATATACACACATACATTCATTATATGTGGTTTAATTAATATCCCAGTAGATAAAGTGGTGAATTTTTATCTATGCTTCCTATGTTCCAAAACTCCTATTCTTCTAAATTATTATAATAGTTCGAACTGTTCTCCCTCTCTTTAATAAAAATATATTTTAAAACATATATATATATATATATACATTCTTTCTATGTTGCGGTTAGCTGCGTTTATAGATATAATATTGAGACAAACCTATAACATCGACCATATCAACGACCCCATATCGATTACATACCTTCATTTTTTTAAATGTGGTTAATCGCAACATGAACCCTAAACTCCAAACTCTAACCGCACCCTCTGAAAGACTGAAATGAAAGATATGAATCAAGTATATATGTCAGCGTATAGTTTGAAACACAATGCTTGGTTAAGTTGAAAGCTTCAATAACTATATATCATTTTCAATTTTTCATCCATGTTGGATTTATCCAATATAAATCAACCTTTATATGGTCTACTCCATGTAATAGGAATGTATAATTAGAGAATAATGTGGATTGTGATTTGATCTCTTAAAGATATCAATCATATAGAAAGTATCTTATAATGGAAGTAGGATTGATAGAATCCTTAATTGAATGTGATTATGATACTTTACCCTTGACGCTAAGAAAGTAGGTTTAGGTTTCCTTTATGGATGAAAACCCTAGCCCTTAACTTATTTAAATACAGCTCTCTATAAACCCTAGAACACACGACAAGTGTTCCCATAGAGCATTGTCATAAGGCTAGGAGTTTGTAGAAAACTTGGTGTTTCTTCTTCTCAGTTCAACGACTGCCATGACTGCTAGAGCTTCATCAAGTTAGGGTTTCAATATAGTTATATTTATTATCACATGCATTAGTGTTCTAACCATGCAATCTTAAAGGACAACAATCCACTCTAGGTTCTGTACGATAAAGTGCAACGCTACTAAAAGCAGAAGTTTTAAAGAAAATTTGGAACCACAAGTAATTGGCCTAAGGATCAGTGTCAAGGGGGGTTGGTAGGATGATTTTGAACCTGAAAATATATATCATCAAACTATATATGTTGCAAAATATTGGATTAAACATGGAAGTTGAGGTAACCCAACTTTCTTATAAATCCATACAACATATTCTTTTTCTTGATGTGAG